CCTCTCCTCCTCCTCCTCCATTCCTTCTCCTCCTTGTTCTCCTTCTCCTTCCTCTCCTCCTTCTCCTCCTCCTCCCTCTCATCCTCCTCCTTGTCCTGCTCCTCCTCCTCCTCCTCCTCCTCCTCCTCCTCCTCCTCCTCCTCCTCTCGTGAGCAGGGCGTGGGGGCGCACGGGCCCGAGCTGTCACCACATGTTCGTCCTCCACCTGCTCCTCCCCCTCCTCCTCCCGAGCGCGGGGCGCCTCCCCCGGTGCTCCGCGAGTCGCACCGACGAGGGCATGCTGAGGGAGAAGAGCTCGTGGGTGATGGCGTAGATGTCCGCGAAGAACTCCTCTGGGGGCACGCGGTTCCCCAGAGGGCTCGAGTAGTGATTTAAAAAAACGGAGGAGTCGCACGGGGAGGACGGGGCGCCCGTGCCCGCCCTGTGCCGGCAGCCGTTTCGCCCGAGACTTCCCTACACATGATTCCGTAGCAGTGCCCTCGCCTCCATGCCAGCTACACGTCTGGCCTGGTCGGCCACGATTGCCTGCTGTAAATACGCTGATGAGGTGCCCGTGGCCGCGCTCTCCCTCCTGTCCCGGCACGCTTTCGCTGGCCGACCTCCTACTCCTCGACCCGCCTCTTCACCTTTGTCGCTCTTAGAGCACTTCGCTGCGGTAAATTTGCGGTCTTCGGCCACGCCAGGCCCTCGCCTGGCCCTGCGAGCGGCAGAGAAGGCTCGGGGTGAAGAGCCAGTCCCAGGAAAGGGGTCGAGGTCTCTGGGGGACCACGTGGAGAAAAATTACCCTGCGACGTACCGAACACATCTGAAACAAGTGAGCAGAGCAGTTGGCCCACAGCGATTATGGATGATGGCACGACAAGGACCGCCGCTTCGTTGTGCAAGCTACATGGGGTGCGCGCGCACGCGCTGCACGACGCACAGGACAGCACTAGAAGGAGAAAGAGAGAGGCCCCAGGCTCGGAGAGGAAGAAGGCGGGAAGGAGGGGCAGGAACGGGACGGAAAAGGAAGCCTAAAAGTCAACGTGGCAGCTGCAGGGAGTCGGTAAAGGAGGAAGAGGACTACAACTAGGGAGGGGGTATGAGAAAAGAGTGCGGTGATTTTCTCAAGTAGCTCGCTCCTGAGCAGCAATATTGCCCTGGCGCCCTGAATGATGAGCTAGCTGTTCATAGCTAATGCAAGATGCGAGCGAGGCCAAGCTCGCCCGCGCCCGAGGGATGGCGAGGTCTACTCTGGGTCCCCAGCGGGGCGTCACTCCGCTGGACCACCCCAGCAGATCTCGAAAGTGGCGACAGTTTCGCAATCCGCAGCCCCCCAGGGATGGCGAGGCCTAATCTTGGCCCAGCTAGGCTCGCGCTCTGCTGGACGCCGCAGCAGCCCTCGAAAGTGGCGACAGCTTCACACTTCGCAGCCCTCCGGGGATGGCGAGGTCTAATCCGTATCAGCGCAGGCCCGCACTGTGCTGGATCCCCCAGCAGCCCTAGAAAGTGTCAACACGTTCGCACTTCGCAGCCCCCCTGGGATTGCGAGGTTTAATCTCTATCTGCGTAGGCCGGCACTATGCTGACCCACCCAGCAGCTCTCGAAAGTGGCGACAGCTTCATACTTCGCAGCCCCCCAAGCATGGCTAGGTCTAATCTGGATCCGCGTAGGCCTGCGCTCTGCTAGACCCCATAACGGCCCTACGAAGTGGCGACAGTTTCAAGCTTCGCAGCCACCCCCCCAGCATGGAGAGGTCTAATCTGAATCTGCGTGAAATACACAGAAGGCATCTATACACGTGCCAAGCCAGGGTCATCCTGGCCCTGGCATGGTGTATACGCCCTCCTGGCCGAGGCCAGGAGGGTCTATGCACCATCCAAGGGCCCAGGATGGCCCTGGCCTGGCACGGTGGCGGCGTATGGACGCCTTCGTCGGACATGAAGCGGGCGGGCGGGACACCGAATGTCAGCTTCGCCCGCTGACAAAGCAAGCTTGGCGGAGAAGGCACAAGCCCAACCAATCAATGGAGCGACAGCGAAAAGACAACAGAGACGGGCGGGAGATGAGCGAGATGGGCGAATAATGAAATGAAGACCTCGCGCGTTGATACGGCAAGACTGAGGAAAACTATGCAAGTGGAAACCTGGTGAAAACGACAACGATAACAGTGGGTGGGGTATTAAAGCGGAGGGGAGGGAGGGACATGGTGCTAGCTAGCTTCACTCATTGACGTGGCGAGTTTGGTGGAGGTGGAGGAACAAGAAAAAAGCGGTTATGAAAGCGGGCGGGCATGTGGGAAATGAAATGGAAACCTTGCACACTGATACGACAGGGCCACGGGAGACCGGAGGGGACAAGTCAACGACAACGACGACACGCCCAGGGCGGGTGGGCACGGAAGGAGGGGCACCCGTTCGACCGGCCAAGAACGGGGGAGCCCCGTACACGCGGGCAGAGGGCACACGCCCCGCACAGCCGGCGGAAGGCGGGCGAGGGTGCCGTGTCCTCATGCTCCTTCCCCCCCCCCCCACCCAGACAGGAGCCGATTCCTCCCCCTACAGTCGACCCATATCATAACGGCGCACGATAAGGATGCAAGGGCCTTGGAAGGACATTTCGAGGCTTTTCGAGCGAGGCGTGGCAAGCGAAAGTGACCAAGGATGTGCCGAAGGGGCAAGGATGCCAGGGTACCCTTGGGAAGGATGCCCATCCTTACTATGCGGGTCGACTGTATACCGATTCCTCCCCCTACTCCTCTCCTGTCCTGCCCCTCCTCCCCCGGTTCGTCCCCCTGTTCCTCCTTCCCTCGTCCATACCCCACTCGGGCGGAGGCTCCTGAACCTGCTGCACGGTCTCGTGCTCGTCGCACCCGGCAAGCTGCTCCAGACCTTGGCTCTCGGTTTTCGTGCCGAAGAGAGAGGGAGAGAGGTAGAGAGAGGGAGAGAGAGAGAGAGAGGGAGAGAGAGAGAGAGGGCGAGAGAGGAGGGAAAGAGAGAGCGAGAGGGAGAGGGAGAGGGAGAGGGAGAAGGAGAGGGAGAGGGAGCGGGAGCGGGAGAAAAAAAGAAAAGGCGATCCAAGGAGGCGAAGGAGCGAGGAAGCGAAGCCAACTGGGTGTCCAGGGCGAAAGCGGGGAGTGAGCAAAGAACGCGCAAGCACTCGAAAGCGCTTAGCGCGATGCGTAGCATGAGAACAGAAAGACGAGCGGGCTCCCGCCCAACCAAGCCTCCTGGCTGGCTCTGGGGCCTTCCGTGCAATCTCGGCGCCCTCATCCTGGCCCGCTCCATCAGGACTCCAGCCCTCGGCTTGTTCCTGCCTCTTCATCGTCTCGCTCGCTCTTTCTCTGTATATGTATATAAAAATAAACCCTATCTATATACATATAGCTATACATATACGTATACATACATACTTATGTGGATATATATATATATATATATATATATATATGTACATACATGTAAATGCATATCCATCTCTGTGTATCCCCTCTCGTTCTCTCTCCGTCTCTCTCTCTCTCTCTCTCTCTCTTTACCTGTCTCCCTTTCTCTCATTACGCTCTATCTTTCCCTCTCGTTCTCTCTCTCTATCTCTCTCTCTCTCTTTATGCATCCTCCCTCATTCTATATATACGCATGTGTATATACAGATATAGATATCGAATCCCACCTCTCTACATATCCTCTCTCGTTCTCTCTCCGTCTCTCTCTCTCTCTCTCTCTCTCTTTCTCTCTCTCTCATCTGTCTATCTCTCTCTCTCTCTCTCTCTCTCTGAATATACAAATACAGACATTTACACATATATACATATATATGTATGTATCTAAATATACAATTACTCAATATGAATACTACTCTCCCTCTTCCCCCGAAGGCGGC